TTATTTAAAAATCATACTTTCAGATTACACTTACAAATGCTAAACTGAAACAAGTCCTTTTTGTATAATTCAGAATTTAGCACAAGGTCAAAAACAAATTTTATATAGATCTTCTCTGAAAAGAATTTATCATTGTAATAAATATTTTAAAATTAATTTATATGTACATTTCTGCATAAAGAGTTCTCTGTACAGAATGATTAGCTTAAGGATATGAATAAAAAATATACTTGTTCTATATACTTAAGCATTTATCTTGAAATGGACTACACTGAACAACTACTTCTGAATAATATTGTCTCTCTAGGTGTGTAAGCATTTCCTTGAAGCTATTGAAAACAACAAATATGGCTGGTTTTGGGTATGCCCTGGAGGGGGTGATATCTGCATGTATCGTCATGCACTTCCTCCTGGATTCGTATTGAAAAAAGATAAAAAGAAAGAAGAGAAAGAAGATGAAATTTCATTAGAAGATCTCATTGAAAGAGAGGTAACTAGTATCTTTTTCCTACTGTAGAAGAAAACCAAAACAGTATTTATTGTAAAATTTGAATATTTACCACTTGGGGGCAATAGCATGTTATGAAAGGGAAAAAAAATATTATGATCTTTTCCCGAAATTGCCTTGCTTTTTCTTTAATTATTCTTGTATATCTAAAATGTAAACCTAGCTATAATCATTGGCCAATTGTTAAATTTAGGATCATGAAACTTTTTTTTAAGTACTAATCACTAGTTTATCAAATAAATTGTGTCTATAAGGTTGATATACTAGCATATCAGTTTATTAAAATGTTTAGTCATTATTCAGATTGATTGAACTTGAAGTTTTAGATGTTTTCCTTGATGTCTTATTTTTTCACCATTTTACCAATCATTAACGTTGTTTGAAAGGAGACTACCACAGTTTTTTCAGTTAGGTGTTTTACTATCATCCTTGGACTCAAAAGGAAAATGAGTCTCATTGAAGAGAATCTTTAGCTACTCATCTCTGAATAAGCAGAAGAGTTTATTCTATGAGTTAGCAGATAGGGATTCAGAGTTAGCAGGTACGGCTTGCGGGAGTGACACAAAAATGTTAAGATTATTGGGAATACTAGATTTAAGGTTATACATTTCAAACTATATCCATTTTGCCATGACTTGGATAATCTAAATATGTTATGTAAATATCTAAGGTTAGAATTATATACATTTGTTCCTAAATGGATATATTGTTTGGTATTTCACGCTGGAGGTAATATAGTGCAATAAAAAATGTAGACTTTGGGATTGTTTATGTTCTAGTTCTGCATATTAGTTGTTAACCTTTGGTAGATTTCCCATCGCCCATTGTTTGCTCATTCGTGAAGATCAGTGTATTAGCATATGTGTATAAAGCATTAACAATACTTGATAGATATTCAGCAAGTATTATTTTTGTTTTTTTTTGTTTTTATTTACTTATTTATTTTTTTAAGGCTGGGCAACCCTTGGTTGACCTCATAGATTATAAGAACCTTGTGAGTTTACAATCCCTTATTTTTTATACCTGCAGCACCTGGTCTTCCTAGGTGATCTCTCATCCAAGTACTAACCAGGCCCGACCCTGCTTAGTTTCCGAGATCAGACTGGATTGGGCTTGTTCAGGGTGGCATGGCTGTAGACAGCAAGTATTATTTTTCTATGTATTTATTACTTGATTATTGGCCTGAGAAGCAGGTGGTGTTTTTCATTTACTTTTTTTCTCCTCTACTGAAGAACACAGATGATACTTGTATATTGTTGGTGCTTTTCATATTTATTGTTTTCATCAGTTCACTTATTTAAAACAATTTCTCATGGCAAGTTTTACTCACCTTCAGTTTTGAAAAGAAATCTAGTTCAGAATAATATATTTCATTATGTTTATAAATGTTGGTAATCTCTGGACACTTGTTTTGCCCATTGCCATTGCCATGTAAAAAAAAAAAATCAGGTTATTTTAAAATTAATGTCTTCATAATTGTCACAGGCAAGGACTTAAGAGAAAACTGTTAAATACTATTATAGGCGACTTGAGGAAAAATATTAACTCTTTTATCTTTGCAGCGTTCTGCTCTAGGTCCAAATGTTACCAAAATTACTCTAGAATCTTTTCTTGCATGGAAGAAAAGGAAAAGACAAGAAAAGATTGATAAACTTGAGCAAGATATGGAAAGAAGGAAAGCAGACTTTAAAGCAGGGAAAGCATTAGTGGTATGTCGTAAATACACCCAAATAGATGCTTTATTCTTTCTTTAATTTTATAATTTCTGTGTCATGCAAGATTTTATCATTATTTAACGTATATGTCTAAAAATCAGTGACCAAGAAATATTTGAATTTTATCCTGACTTGATATATTTGTGTATCTGAATAGATCAGTGGTCGTGAAGTGTTTGAATTTCGTCCTGAACTGGTTGATGATGATGATGAGGAAGCGGATGATACCCAGTACACCCAGGGAATAGGTGGTGATGAGGTAAGAGGAAGCTTTGATACTTCATCTCCTCATGTTGATTGAGAGAGAGGATAGAGAGTGACAGTAGAGCAGCATGGTCAAGAGTGCCAACTGTGGGGCCTTCGTTCAAATCCTGACTCTAACCTGGGAAATTACCTATACTCTAGGCCTCCACCCTCATCCGTACTATGGATATAAGGATAATCCCTACATCACAGGATACTTGTGAGAATTAAATGAATTAATTTATATTTATTTATAGTTCTTTTTGGAACTTAGTTCACTGCCTGGTATATAGTTTAAGTGCTTATATGTATTAACTATAAAAAGTATTTGTTTTATTCTCCCTTTAAGAGGAAAGTCTTTTTTGTATAATAGTTTATAGAAAAAATCATGGTTCAGAGACACTAAAAAGATCATTCGGTTGTAAACAACATTAGTAATTGCAGATAGCTATTTTTTGTATAGCTATAAAGTTCTGACTTTTGTCTTAGAGTTGGAAGATAAGAATATTGTATTCTATATGTAAAATGTGATGTCAGAGGAAGAAGCTTCAAATATGGCATTGCTGTTTTTTTAAGAAGTTTAGAAAAGTGAATTTTGGTGATAGTCGTTTGTTTTCACTTTTCACTAGCAATAATTTTGATTTATTAAGATAAACATCAGAAGTAAAAGCCAAGTAATTTATGAAAATTGTTATTATTAGTATCAACTTTCTTTCTATATGTTTTTAAAGGTTGATGATTCAGTGAGTATAAATGACATAGATTTAAGCCTGTACATCCCAAGAGATGTAGATGAGACGGGTATTACTGTAGCCAGTCTTGAAAGATTCAGCACATATACTTCAGAAAAAGATGGTAAGTATGCATTTTTGTGTAATTCTAAGAACTAGGAAGCTATCTAAAGGAGGTTAGATCAGGCTTAGCAAACTTAGATGCCATAGGTACCAGAATGATAACATAAATATGTGGTTTGACTATATATAGAAGTAGCGAGTAATAGAGGCTTTAGAAATGGGTGGCTGGGACTGTCGAAGTCATTAACTGAAACTAGAAGGGGACAAAAAAGAGTTTGGAGATGTAGCTAATGAGTTCAGTTTGGAACCTCATAAGGTTGAGGTGTTTTAGCTATCAAAAGTGGCATTGTCTGATTCTGCGTAGAGATTTGCAGGAGAAAAAGTTTGAAGATAATCTTCATTGCTGAGAATGAATTCACCCAGGTGCAATACATAGGATGAGAACATTCTAGTGTATACTGCAAATATTACTATTTGAGATTAGTCTAAAGAAGAACAGCTTGAAAAATATACTAAGGACAGAGAAAAATTAAGAAAAGTTTTAGAAAAATTGAGTAAGGTAAATTGGAAATAGTTGTTTAGCTGCAATTAGG